CAACAATTTTTTTCAGTATGAAATACAGTATTGTTAAGTATAAATACAACTTTTTCTTAAAAATTTTAAACACAAGACCTCAAAAATTCCTCCAAAGGGAAGCCACACACTGCACAGACTTGGGAGTATAGGGTAACCTCAGTTTCTTGACAGTTGACCATTGGGTAACAGAGGGGAGAACAGGTTTTCTTAACACAATTGCCTAACAGATTGAATAAGTTAACTAAGTTCCTTATCTGGACTGCAAAAAGCAGTACCCTAAAAGCACTAAGAACATTAATATAGTTTGGGAACCAGGATGTGGATTTGGGTGGATCTATTTTGGAGAATATATATACCCTTTTTCTCAACATGTTTTCCTAAACACTGTCACCAAGGATTGAGCCAAATCACTAAGTTCTTGCCATCATGTTTTGAAAATAGTTTTAGCTCTTGGAAAGTCTCCACTGAACAGGAAGGGTAGGGCAGGGAGGGAGGTTGCTTAGGTGAAGTGAGCTGAAATAAGATTGTGTGTATGGTGTATGCATATTGCACATGTGTGTAAAGTGCAGCTGCCTAGGCATGAGCATGTGGAGAACAGGGCTCATTGTAGGGTGTCTTTTTCTGTAGCTTTCCATCTTATGTTTTTAGTGGTCCTTTTTAAATTTTTTAATTTTATGTGTATGAGAATTTTGCCTGAATGTATGTAAGTGCACCATGTGCATGCAATACCCATAGTGATCAAAATAGGGCCATTGGATCCCCTAGAACTGGAGTTACTGGTTGAAAGTTGCCATGTGGGTTCTAGGAACAGAACCCAGGTTCTCTACAAGAGCAGCCAGTGCTCTTAACCACTGAGCCATGTCTGTAGCCCCCTCCACCATTTTTATTTTACATATTACAAAGGGGGTTTACCAGGTTGGCTTACATTGTAAGGGACTAAATCCCCAATAAGCAAACTGAGAAGTAATAAAGATGGCATGGTTCCTACAGTTCTTGGTCTGGCAGGAAGGCCTCATTCTTAACTCCTACAGGGCTCCTTCAACTGACCTGCTTAGAGTATGATAGCTCTAGATAGCTCAGTTTGGAGATGTGACCTATCCGCCTTCTTTAAGTTGACTAAGCCAAATTTAGGGGAAGGGAAACCACTAAAACCCTTAAAACCCAGGCCATTCCATTGTGGAGAGCTTCACTTTTCTGTATGAATGTGTGTATGTATGTGTGATTCTTTATGAGTATAGATGTGATTCTTTCAATAATAGTCTGGTTGATTGCCACTCTCTACTGACTTGAGATTTTTCCCTGTCTTTTAATTCTTTAATTGGCTGAAAAACCTAGGCAGATAACCTGCCAAACCACAAAATGATTTAGGCTGGGTGATCTACCAACAGTGGCCATCTGAACACTGGAGAGGCTGAGAACCTGAAGCAGCTCCTCGAAGAAAGCCGAGTACCCCAGCAGCCCTAATCTACTCACCCTAGTGTTTGAAACAGTCTCTCATTGAACCTGGAGTTTGCCATTTTAGCTAGACTAGCCCAACCAGTGCTGTGCTTACAGACACATGCCAGCATGTTGGCTTTTATGTGGGTACCATGGCTCCAAACATGTGAAGTCCTCATGTTTGTACTTTGATTGCAGCAAGTATTTCACCCATTGAGCTATCTCCCCAGCCCTAAAAGTATTTTTGTTTGTTGGCTGATTGGTGTTTATTTGTTTGTTTGTTTGTTTGTTTGTTTGTTTGTAAGACAGGCTCTCTCTCACTCTGTGGTTCTTGCTATGTAGCCTAGACTGGCTTCAAACTCACAGCAATCCTCTTTCCTCAGCCTCCCAAATACTGGAGTTGCAGGTGTGAACTTTCCACTACATGCCCTGCAGATTAGAGTGATCAGGAGCCATTCACATAAAAATACAGAAATGGTACATTCCATGGATGAGGAACTGACAAGATAATAAACCCTATGGCAGGAGAATTATTTGAAAAGTCAAGAGTGGTTGAAACAGGACTGGAGAGATGGCTCAGTGGTTAAGAGCACTGGCTGTTCTTGCAGAGGACACAGCAACCACATGGTAGCTAACAACCATCCCCAGTTCGAGGGGATCGAACACCCTCTTCTGATATCCATGGGCATTGCATGACATGGGTGCACTTACACCATGCAGGCAATACACTCATACACTAAATAAAAGTAATAAAGAAAATATTTTTTAAAAAAGAGTGGGTAGGGGGCTGGAGAGATGGCTCAGTGGTTAAGAACATTGGTTGTTCTTACAGAAGACCCGGGTTTGAATCCCAGCACCCACATGGCAGCTAACAGCTGTCCATAACTCCAGTCCCAGGGGATCTGACAGCCTCTTCTGATGTCCCTGGGCATTGCACGACACAGTTGCACTTACCTATATGCAGGCAATACACACATACACATAAAGTAAAAATAAATAAATAAAATTTTTTTTAAAAGAGTGGTTAAAACTTGAAGTCTACATGTTTTAGATTTTGGAAAAGGTAAATTAGAGCCTGAATTTCATGCAACCAAGTGATGGGGCAGGCAGTAGCTCCTGGTTGTTTGCTGTTTTTCATTCTTTTTTCCTTAGCCTTGTAAACTTAATTTTTCTCAGGCAGCCATGTACCTCATCATAGATGATGCATCATCAGTGTCATCAAACCATGGTTCTTAATCCAGAAGAACCAATGCCCTCCCTTTTCATCAAATACAATCAATGTAAATGCTTAGAATGACTATTTTAGAAAATATCACAGAATAGTCGTTTTCAACCTTTAAAGACAACTAATGTGAGTAAAGCAAACACAGAGAGACACAAAGATATCTTGTATTGAATGTTTAAAACTGGGACTCAGGCTCACCTTGCCAAGCTGATTTTCCAGTGTAATCAGTGATTCTGATTAGTCAAGTTCCAAAGCATATTTCCACAATTTTAAACAGTCTAAAAATAAAAACAGGTCAGAAATGGTAGTGCATGCCTTTAATCCCAGCACTAGTGAGACAGAAGCAGGTGGATCTCTGTGAGTTCAAGGCTAGTCAGGGCTATAAAACAAGCAAACTAGAAGTTATATTCCTGGATGGTTTACTGAATGTGAAAAGTGTTCAGCAGAAAAAGAACCTTGTTACATACCTAAGGTTCAGACCTATGGCTCCCTCTCTTGAGTTTCAGCTGTGTTCCTGAATAGTTAGAATGCAGAAATCACAGAAGCCTGGAAATTAGTAACTCACTGTCCGGAATCCAGTCAGGTTCTCGGGACTTCCAGGCAATCTTTTATGGGTTTCCATCAACTCGCCTTCCATTTCTACCTTTTGTTGTTGTTGTCGTCGTGTGGTGGTGCTGGGGATTGAACCTAGAGCCTTATCCTACTAGGCAAGCACTACACTGGCGAGATATATCCCCCACCTCATTCATTCTTTTTTTAGTCTAAGTTGCTCAGACAGGTCTTGAACTTGCATGCTTGTACCTCGGGCCTTGTGTAGCTGAAATTTTAGGCCCAGTCCCACAGGCTGTTTCTCACCTTCATTTTTCCCAGACTTCTCACAGTGAACATCGACAGCTCTCTTGTGCAGAAACCTTTAGTAAGGCCAAAGGCACAGCAAGAAATAAATTGGTAACTGGCTTAGTAACTACAGCATATGAGACATTTTGTACTCAGGACCCCTGAATACTGCTGTGTAATTCTCACCTCAAGACTGTGAAGACTGTGATGATGATGATGGTGGTGATGGCTTTTCGCTACTCTCCCATCTGCACGTTCTCCACAAGGTAAGTTGGGTCTATTTATTTATTTATTTATTTTATTATTATCAGTCTTTTTGAGACAGGGTCTCCCTGTAGCCCCAGCTGTCCTGGAACTCAGAGATCTGCCTGTCTCTGCCTCCAGAGTGCTGGGATTAAAGGCCGGCGCAACCACACCCGGCGAGTCCTTTTATTTTTACTGCTTATTTCCCCTGGTGGGTGAGAGTAGCTTGTGTCTCTTTCACTAGAGGTTTAACCCATTCTTTCATCTGCAACTTCTTACTGCTGTCCTTCCAGGTGAATTTCCTCTGGACTTGTTCAATAACAACCCTGGGGAACTCTCCAGAAAGACAGCAGTGGTTACTTAACCAGAAAGAAAAGAAATGAACGTGAGGCCAAGAAATATTTAAATGCTCATGGGAAAATGAGAAACGACTTAAGTACTTAATGATTCTAGGTCAAAACTAAATTAGTCAGGGACGGAAGCAAAACGCAGCTTTGGAGATGCCGGGGATCGAACCCGGGGCCTCATACATGCGAAGCATGCGCTCTACCACTGAGCTACATCCCCGAGTACTTGATGGCAGTGGCTCGGAATTCCTGTCCTTTTAAACCTCCAAAGTGCTTTGTACGACTGGTTGGTGTTTGGGGAGGCACCTCTGGTCAAGGATGACTTCCGCCCACCACCTCTTCCCGGTGCTCTCTAGAGCAGCGCCATGAAGACCCAAAGAATCCCGTCTTCCCGGTTTGCAGTTTCGCCCAGAGGAAAACAGTTTAGCAGCTTCCTCCTAGCGATCCTTCCGCTGACCAAATAGACTCCCAGGCGGAGAGAATTGGACATTTTTCTGCCCACCCCCAGCACTCAGGAGAATTTACTGCTAGTCAAAGGCTTAAGGGAAATGCAACCCAAATTTCTTGCATCTGATTAGGTCGAAGGGCCAGAAGCTTCTCGGAGGTGGCGAGGCCCCGCCCGGAGGATGAAAATGCCGTAGATGAGAGTAAACCTCCTGCCCTGGTCCTTGTCAGACCACCTGACGCCAAAGCAGGGACCTGCGAACTTGGGGTCCGGCCGCAACCGCCTCACCCTAGTTCTGTGCTGTCGCCGCCAGCCTAGCTGACCGCTGCCGCCGCAGGCACTGTGCTTCTGATTCCAGATTCAGAAATCTGCAGCAGACAAGAGTGACTACAAAAGCAGAAATGAGCGCTAACGACAGAGCATTAATTAACAAGTTGGGCTTCATTAAAATAGAAATGTAGGCTGCATAAAAACTCAAGAAGAGATCCTTTGGTGGTGCATAAGCGTGATAATTGGGTGTTCACGCGCATGCATGACATGTGCGGCCCTCGAACCTTGTTACAGTACCGGCACATTACCCGTCTGACGTGGGGGAAAAAAAAAACAAAACCTCAAGAAGACAAGCCACAGACTGGAGAAGAATATTTGTAATTCTTATCTGATAAATCTGATATCCTAAATATGCAAAGAGCTCTTAAACTACAATGATAAGAAAGCAAACAATCAGAGTTTAAAAACAGGTCATCAACCATGAAATACACCCATGAGAATGGTGAAAAGCATTAGAAATGTCACAGACCTGGAGCAGCAGATAGCTCGTTTGTTCTTGGTCAGAATCAACAGTTGTACAGTCTTGACATAAACCCAGCATTTGCATTCCTTGGTATTTCCCCAAAGGAGCTGAAAACCCACATTCGTACAAACCCTTACACACAAATGTTTACAGCTGCTTTATTCCTAGTTGTCAAGACTTGAAAGTAACTAAAATAATCCTTCAGTAGATGAATGAATAGACAAACCATGGTCCATTCACACAGCGGAATATTATGCAATGCTGAAAAGAAGTAAGCTGTGAAGGGGGAGATGTAAAACTAAAATTCGTTTTACTGAAGAAAGAAGCCAGCATAGAAAGGGTACACAGCGACTCCAGCATCTGACTTTCTCAATCAGGCAAAGATGGGGCCAGTGAGAAGAGCAAGATTGCCAGAAATCGAGGGAGAGAAAAGAGCAAGCAGGTAAAACATACAGGATGATTAGGATGGTGAATGAGGGCCCTGTGGTTCTGCAGAGACAGGTACAAATTGTGTTGACATTTGTCAAAACTCACTGATTGTCCAACCCTAACCATGAGCCAGAATGCGAATGACTACTGTGTGGAAGTAACATGACAACACAGCTCATGAGCTACAACACATATAGCTTCTGCGTGAGACGTAGGAATAGTGTGCTGAGCGGCCCTGTCACCCCAGTTGCTGGGGAAGCTGAAGCAGGAGGATGGCAAGTTCTTGCCTGCCTTGGCTGCAGAATGAGCTCAAGGCCAGCCTGGGCAACTTAGCAAGACCAGTCTCCAAAAGTAGGAAGACAGTTGGAGACGGAGCTCACTGGTAGAGCCCTTCCCTAACATGTGCAAGGCATTAGTATTGATCCTCAGTTGGGGAGCGGGCAGCAGTGGTGGGGACTTCTTAACTGTTGTGAACCTAAAACTTCTCTAAAAGTAGACAAAACAAAACCAAAACTAGGGAAAATGACCCAGAAGGTGACCTAGAAGGCACGTGGTAGAGATGGGGAAGACATAAGAAGCCATTGTGGACTGGGAAGGTCGCTCAGCAGTTAAACAGCACTTGCTGCTCTTGGAGAGCATGCACCTATGTGGCAGCTCACAGGGGCACCGACTGTCTCTCCTGGCCTCTGCAAGCACCAGGCACACATATGGTGTATGTACATACATGCAGGCAAAACATACACATAAAAAGAAACAGTTTGTGCCCCTGTATTACAATCAGGCATCTGGGATTGGCCCACTTGTAACACTGCATCTCCTGGGATTGCTCCATAAAGCTGTGTCTCCTCACTGAAAACTCAAGAGCTAGTGCTGCTTGGCTGTTAAGAACTTTGCTTTTTTGTTTATTTTTATGTGTATGAGTGTTTTGCCTGCATGTAAACAAGTATACCATGCAATGCCCATGGAGGCCAGAAGAAGGTATCAGATTACCTGAAACTGTTAAGGATGGAGCAGCCAGTACTTTTGATATGGGAAAAGTTATATTCTTATATAATGTCCTTGCAAGCTTAGGCCATTTGAATTTTTCTTTGTTTTACTTACCAGTTAGATACCTTGGAAAGTAACCCTAGGATGCTCAGAGATGTTTTATTGCTCTGTGCTGTTTCCATTACCCTGATATGTTTTTGTTACTTTGTAAAGTCTTGAGGTGCTGTGATGCTTTCCACTCATAAAGATGTAAAACTAAAAGAATGGAAAGTTCACCAAATGGTTTAACAAGACAGCCGGTCCAGTTAGTCCAAGAAAAGTGTGGCTTAAACATTGCAGAAATCTAAACGTCTGCCAATAACTGTTTTTGTAAACTGTAATGACCATTTGACCAGATCCTAGACCAATTAGCCTGGCCTAACTGTAAATCAAAAGGTGGCAGATGTCCTGACCCATGCCTGGGATATCTACTTTGGAAGTTATGTTGGCCATGTGAACTAGGGAAGGAACTTCCTGAGATAACAGGGCCCATCATGAACAGAAACACGGGGCCTAGGCGCTAACCATAAAATGATGATTTAAAATTGGCTATTTAATCCTCATCTGTATCTCAGTTCACGGTCCCAGAGAATCTAAAAAGCCTTTGTTGCTCCTGGGACTCTTATGCATGAATAAAGAATAAAGGAGCTTTCCAACACTCTCCTGGGTGAATGCTTGATCTCTTAGCTGTTCCAAGAATTTTTCTATAACACTCTGAACTACTAAGCCATCTCTCCTGACTCTATTTATTACTTTTTTGAGGTAAGGTCTCACTCTAGCCAAGACTGACCTGGAACTTACCATGTAGCCCAGACTGGCCTGAATCTGTCAGCAATATGCCTGGCTCAGCTTCTCAACTACTGGAATTACAAGTGTGAGCCACTGTGCCCAGTTGGAACCTGCTTTTCAGATCATGAAAAATACTTTTGAAAAACAGTCATCACCCAGGACCATGGCTTAGCCATGCCTATTGGGACATAATGAAAAGATTTTATTGCCTTTCGCTCCTTTCTCTTTCACAGTGGTATAGGAATTAATTTTATTAATGGACATAATATGAACTAATGACTTAATTAGCCCCCACAAAACCATGTGCTCTTGGGTCTGATGATGGGGCATCTTCTTGGCAACCTCAGTTGGTATCCACCCAAAAAGATAATGAATGATTGTGGATAAGCTTGAGAATTAACAAACATATCAAAGCTCTACAAGCAGCGCACACATCCATTGGACAGTGGAGGCTGGGAAGGATTTGTGACCTTGGATGAATGTGAACTAGGGATGAAAAGACCAGATGGCCTGTGAAGATTAAGGGTGGAGCTGAACTTGAACTTGTACTCCTCCAGTGAAACTAGAGAAAACATTTTGAATAAATTATGGGTGTAGTCTGATAAGGGGACACAGTGGGAGAAACAGGGCTCCAGAGTCAGTTCCATCGGCATAGGGTGAGGGGACAAGAGGGATTCATCAGCGCAGTGTTGCGGTATCTCTCACATTCCCACTGCCAATTTGCCTCCTCAGTAAGTCCTGTACCAGTCTGAGTGTTTCTGCAGGGGCCGCACATCTGCCCCAGGGGGCAGAATGTTTCTGCATGGTTCTTCTATCTCATGGCCTTGCCTTGTTTTGTTTCATTGGTGTGTCTGTGTGTGTGTGTCTCTGTGTGTGTCTGTGTGTCTGTGTATGTGTGTGTCTGTGTATGTGTGTGTATGTGTGTGTCTGTGTCTGTGTGTGTGTATGTGTGTATGTGTGTGTATGTGTGTGCCTCTGTGTGTGTGTCTGTGTCTGTGTGTGTCTGTGTATGTATGTGTGTCTGTGTATGTATGTGTGTGTCTGTGTGTCTGTGTCTGTGTATGTATATGTGTGTCTCTGTGTGTGTATGTGTGTCTGTGTGTGTCTGTGTGTGTGTCTGTGTATGTATGTGTCTCTGTGTGTGTCTGTGTGTGTCTATGTGTGTCTGTGTGTTTGTCTGTGTGTGTCTATATATGTGTGTGTGTCTGTGTGTGTCTATATGTGTGTGTCTGTATGTGTGTATGTGTGTGTGTCTGCATGTGTGTGTCTGTGTATGTGTGTCTGTGTCTATGTGTGTCTGTGTATGTATGTGTGTCTGTGTGTATGTATGTGTCTGTGTGTATGTGTGTGTGTCTGTGTGTGTATGTGTATGTATGTGTATGCCTCTGTGTGTGTGTCTGTGTGTCTGTGTATGTATGTGTGTTTCTGTGTATGTGTGTCTGTATGTGTGTGTCTGTGTATGTATATGTATGTGTCTGTGTGTGTGTCTGTGTATCTCTGTGTGTGTGTCTATGTGTGTCTGTGTGCGTATGTGAATATGTGTGTGTCTGTGTGTGTCTGTGTGTGTGTGTCTGTGTATATGTGTGTGTGTATCTGTGTGTCTCTGTGTGTGTGCCTCTGTGTGTGTCTGTGTGTATTTGTGTGTCTCTGTGTGTGTGTATATGTGTGTGTGCGTGTGTGTGTGTGTGTGTTTGGTTCTTGATCTTTTCTTTTTAAAGGTTTTATTTTTTATTGTTATCCCTCCAGCCCAATGGTTTTATTTTTAGTTGTATGTATGTTGTAATTGTGCATCTATGTTGGTATGTGTATGTGTGAGTTCAGGTGCCCACAGGAATTCAGAAGAGCCTGTCAGATCCTCTAAAGCTGGAGTTACAGATGATTGTGACCCACCAGTCATGGGTGACCACTGAGCCATCTCTCCAATCCCCTCAGTTTAAATTCTTTCCTCTGAATGATTAAGTAAGGCAGAAAGAAGAATGGAACTTCAGAGACTGTAAGAGTCAAAATGGTTTACTATGTAGCAATAGATAATTAACACATTGCAATATATTTCTACTTATTTAGCCTCTGTATGAAATTTTAAAATTTTTTCCTAGTGCAGAAGTGGAACCCAGGGCTATGTACCTGATATACTAGTTTATTTAGATATTCTATGAAAAATATATGGATGAATGATACATCATAATGAATGGTTGTGTATGTGCCAATCCATTAAAATTTGCATCTATACTATAGTATATAATGTTGTGTATTATTGGTCATGTTAGTTACTTTTCCATTGCTGTGATAAAACACCATGAGACAGAGGCAGAGGCAGGTGGATCTTTGTGAGATTGAAGCCAGCCTGGTCTACACAGCCAGTTCCAAGACAGCTCTGGACTACAGGGTGACCCTGTCTGAAAAAAAAAAAAAAGCAAACAAAAATAAGCAAGCAAACCCACTCACACACCATGACCAAGGTAACTTATAGCAGGAAGGGTTTATTTGCTTTATGGTTGCAGAGGGCTAAGACACCATCATGGAGAGGGAGGCATGGAACGTGGCAGCTGAA